AGGGAAACTGAGTGGTGCAGTCTTAAAGATCAGATGGATCCATCTTTATTTATCCAAAAAACCTTTACAACATTAGTATTTGTTACTAAATATGTTTTAGAAGGTAATCATTGATGCTAAGGTCCTTGAAAAGGACATTAAAAGAGAGTATTAGACGGATGGGGCTCGAGATGGAGGATTAAGAAGATGTGGAGCACCCCCCCAACACATCAAAAATACATCTACATGTGGAATACTTCTCACAGAAAACTAACAGGAAATTGACAGACGATCTCTTACACAACAAAAGACACAAGAAAGATCTCCACATAACCATGTAGGATGGAAAAAAATAAAGGCCTCAGGTCAGGATTGGTGCCCTGGGAGGAATCTGTAGGGAAGAGAACGTCCATACATTCGGATCCTTTTCCTGGGGAGCCCCTGCTGGGAGATCCACTGAGACAGAAAATGGCTGGAGAATCCTAGAACCTACTCTGCCTCATTAATCTCACCTTTAAAATCTTGCCTTGATCACCATCCCCTCCCCATGAGAAGCTGATTTATGAATTAAGTCCCTGCTTCTCCATTCTCTGGCCATAGAATAAAATTTGTGCTGTTTCAGTCTCAGAATTAGTTTTGTGTCCTCATAAGAGAAAATAGACACTGGGCAAATATACTCATGTGATGACAGAGGCTGAGTTTGGAGTAGTGCATCTTTAAGCCAAAGAATGTCAATATTGCAATAAATGCGAGAACATAGAAGAGTCAAGGAAAGATTCTTTCCTGCAGGTTTCAGAGGAAGTATGGCCCTGTTGACATCTTGATTTTGCATTTAAAGTCTCCAGAACTGTGAGACAAAATTTCTGTTTTTTTAAGCCATCTGCATAGTGGAATTTTGTCACAGCAGCCTCAGGATTCTAAAACAATATTCTATAACTCAATTAAATTATTGCTACTTTAAACCACATCTATTTGGTAGGTTCTGGGGCCTACTCAGCAAGACTCAGCAAGGTAACATAGTGCTGATTACTTCCGATGCGTGATAAATATATCCAAATATACGTCAGCAATCATTGTAATAATTGGAGACTTTGGTCTATTTTCACCATTTCATTCAGCATAGTATTGGAAAAGTCTAGCTAGGATAATAAAGCAAGAAAAGAAAAGAAAAGAGAAGAAAAGAAAAGGCATATAGATTGGAAAGGAAAAACAAAACCATCCCTGTTTACAAGTGACATGATGATCTATGTAGAAAGTTCCAAGGGATTAAAAACAACAACAACAAACTAGAATAAGTGAGTTTTGTGAAGTTGCAAAATATAGGTTCTCAACCCGCAAAATTCAATCATATTTCTATATGTTAGCAATGAACAATTGGAAATAAATTTAAAACATAATTCCATAAATAACTGATTTTAAAAAAGAGAAATACTTAGGTGCACATCTATCAAAACATTTACAGATTCTACACACTGACAGATTAAAAAACTTGTAATGGTAGAAGTCAAGAAAATCTAAATTAAATGAAGCAATATACTATGTTCACTGATTGTACAATTAACCATAGTAAAGATATCAGTTCTCCCCAAATTCATGTATAGGTTTCGTGAAATTCCTAGCAAATCCAAACAGAATTCTTTGCAGCTATAGAAAAGCTTATTCTCAATTTTAAGACTTACTATAGAGCAACAGTTAAGACAGCATGGTATTGGCAGAAGAATAGACACATACACCAATAGAATAGAGATTCCATATAAGGAGCTATGGAAGTACAGCTGAATTTTGACAATGGCAAAGGCCATTACATGGAGAAGAATAGATTTTTCAACAAATGGTGTTGTAATAATTGAACATTCATAGACAAAAACAATGACACTGACATTTGACCAAACACTATACTTTATAAAAATTAATTCAAATGCATTGTGGATATAAATATAAAACATAAATATATAGTACCTTTGAAAGAAAACATGTAGAAAATATTCATGACTTAGGCAAAGAGTTCTTAGTCATGAAATCAAAGGCATGATCCATAAAAAAGATATGATAAACTTGATTAAAATTAAGGAAAAAAAACCTCTTGCACTGCAAATGACCTTGTTAGGAGATGTAAAAAGGTTTTTAATTAACATAGTATGATCTGAATATTCTTATTTAACTAAAGTTATTTATTTTCAAAAAAAAAGAAAGAAAGAAAAGCCATACACTGGAAGGAAATCTTTGCAAATCACATATTTGATTAAAAAACTTGTACCTAGATTAAATGAATTCTCTAAACTCAACAGTAAGAAAACAAACAGTCCAATTAGAAAATGGGAGAAAGAGGTGAAAGACACTTTATCAAAGAGGATAAAGGAACAGTAAATAAGCACTTGAAAAAAGATGTGTACCACCATTAGCCATCAGAGAGATGGAAATTAAAGCAACTATGAGATATCACTGCATACTTATTTGAACAGATTTTACAACATATTGACAATACCATGTGCTGACAATGACATGGAGCAAACAGATCCCTCTGACATTGCTGAGTAATATACAAAATGGTACAGCCACTTGGAATACAGTTTGGAAATTTCTTATAAAATTAAACATATACTTAACATATGATTCAGCAATCCGACTGTTGGGTATTTTATACTAGAGAATGAAAACTTAATATTCACACACAAACTTGCATATAGATTTTTATTACACATGTTTATAATGTCACCCAGAAGTGGATATATCCCAAATGTCCTTCAATAGGGGAACAGATAAATTATAGTACAGCCATACAATGGAATTTCACTCAGGAATAAAAAGACAAACAAAGCACAAGTACTTCCATGGATTTCAAGGGTGTTACACTAAGTGCAGAAAGCCAAACTCAAAAGGTTTTATACTTTATGCATCTACTTTTATGATGTTCTCAAAGTGACAAAATTATGGAGAACAGATCAGTGATATCCAGGTGTTAAAGCTGGGGGTGGTTGTGAGAACAGATCAGTGATATCCAGGTATTAAATTTGGGGGTGGTTGTGACTACTAAGCGGCAACAACAAGGGATTTCTTTGTAGTGACAGAACAGTTGGTATCCTGATTGGGCTGACAGTTACATGAATCTACACGTGATAGAGTGTCCTAGAAGTATAATTACTGCACACTGCCCAAAACGAGTACATGTAAAAACTGGTGAAATCTTAATTATGTCTATA